TTAATGTTGTTAATTTCTAATTATCTTCACATCTTTGTTGGTAGGTTAAATTACACATATATATATATATATATATATATATATATAGATAAACATTCTGAAGTTGTGTAAATGAACATTTAACCCTCTCACTACAGATATATTAAAATATACATCCGAGTTACATTCAAAATTTAAGTAAATGAATAAACTTGGCATCAAAACATAGTTAATAAATCAAATTTTAATGTTATATAAATAGGCTTATAAAATTGTAAAAAACTATTTAAATCATTCCTCAATCTCCCCTTGTATGAGAACTGTCATATTTATTCTCTAGGTCTTGTCCATTCTCTGATTTATTAACCATTCCTCTTTGAAGTATGGAGTTTAATATAAATTACTCATTATAACATAGATATTACTAATGCATAGTTTAATTGTTATAACCTTCAAATCTTCTTTGTTTACAGCATCATAAACTGGAAAATCAGACTCGCTTGTCATGACCATCTGTTACATCCTCTTTTTCATTACTTGTCATTACTTTTTCTCTGATGTTTTATATCATTTATAACCAATCGAAAGACAATGTTTTAATTTATCAAATAATGTATAATGCTACATTGCTTTCAGTACAGAATCCTGTCTTATTTCATTTTCAGTATGAAAGTTTATCTCATGGTATTCAGATCAAGTAGGTATGGTAATTATTTTAAGCCCCTCTGGCCTTAGTTTGAAAGCCAGTTAAATTATTATTGTACTGTTATCATCATTGTAGAAAAAAAAAAAGAGAGAAAAAAATAGAATTAGGCTTAAATTTCATTGGCAATCAACAGCAAAAATACAACAACAAAAAACAGATGGTCAAATGTAAGTACTATATTTCTTCCCCTTGAGGTGGATTCCATGTACGTGGTGAGGAGACCTCCTACGGAGGGTTCTGTATTTTCAGTTACCTACTCTGGGATCTAAACATCCACCCATGTGTTTGCCTTGAGTGGTGTCTGGGGCACTGCAACACACCACTTTGGCCTTGAATTCCTGTAGACAGGTGTCATTACAGTGCCTCCCCCCAGGGTCAATCGGTTGGTCCCATCGGGCTAGGGTCAACTGAGTACCAGTGTTGGGCATTCTCAACAGGTGTTGTGGACATTGTGTCTGATACCGGTGTTTGGATATAGTGCTCACGAAACCCTGGCATTGCTGCATTGTCCTTGTTTGACATTGTAGTGCATCTCCTCGTCGGACTCCATGGTTGGTGGGTCAGTGGGCACTGAATATTTCTCTCTATATTATGGATCCCCAAACCCTAGTAAAACTATGCTCATCAGTAAATGACCATGCCTTGAAGACTCAAAAGCAGTTTCCACCCCATTGTATACCTTTACCTCATTTTCTTATCATGAATTCTTTGTCAGAAAAACTTTTAGGGCAAATGTCTCCCTTTTTTATTCAGAAGGGATTAGAGGGGCTTGCTGGTTCTCCAAAGTCAGTCAAGAAGCTATGTTCTGGGGATATATTTGTGGAAACATCAACACCATAACACAGTGAACTCCTCCTGAATTCAAAGACCATTGGGGATATACCTATTGAAGTTACTCCCCATGCTTCTTAGAATTCCTCACTAGGAGTTATTGTCGAGAGGGATTTGAAGACCATCCCTAAGTCGGAGATCCTTGCTGGTTTCTCAAGCCAAGGAGTTTCAGTAGTTTGAAGGATCTCCACTTGTCAAGATGGAATTATGGTGCCGACCGCTGTTCTCATTTTGACATTTTCATCACCACATCCACCTGCCGCTGTTAAGGCGGGTTATTTGAACCGTAAGGTACGGCCATATACTTCTAACCCTTTCTGATGTATCCAGTGCCAGCGGTTCGGTCATTCGAAGTCATCTTGTTGTGGTTATGTGATGTGTGCTCGTTGCATTGGCAAGAACCATGACACTTACAAGTGCAAATTGGACCGTCACTGTGTTAATTGTAGTGGTTCCCACCCCTCTTACTATAGATTTTGCCCTTAGTGGAGGAGAAAGAAGTACAGCGTTTAAAGACTATTAACAACATTTCTTACCCTGAGACTTGGAAGCTATTGTTCCCTACTCCATCTCAGACATATGCCACTGCACTACGCTCTACTGCTACGGTGGGAGTGCAGACATACCTTTCCGTGCCTCTGTCTCAGTCTTTTTCGCGTTATGTGAGGGGTCTTCTACCCTCCATAGATAATAGAGTTGACCGGTCTACTCCAATCTCTGTCCCCACCATTCCTTCCTGTGACTGCTTGGGTCCACTTCCTTCGGCCCTGATTTCTGGTATCTTCTTCGTCTTTGGCCCCAAAATGCAGAACGATTATTCTTTCACACCCTCAGTCATTAGATTCCAAGTCTGATGACAGAGATCTGCCCACTCGACCAAGGGTAAGATCCATGGAGGTCGATCGACCTTCTTCTAATACAGAAAAATGGTGTGGTTGTAAACCAAAAGGTTCTCCACCCTGTTCTCCTCTACCTACATAAAAATGGCCACTTTGATACAATGGAACTGCTAAGGTTTCATTCTAATCTCAATGACATTAAGACCTTGATCGATTCCTATCATCCCGTGTGTCTCTCCTTACAGGAAACATTTCTGAAACCTGCCAATACAGTCACCTTTCGGCAGTTTTCTTTGTACGAGAATGACAGGTTGTGTGATGGACAAGTGCATGAAGGGGTGGCACTGCTGGTTGACCAGCATGTGCCCTCTTTATCTGTGTCCCTCGATACAATCTTGGAGGCCATCACCATCCATGTTTCCTTGGGTAGTAACATCACTGTTTGTTCTCTCTACCTGTGTCCTGGAGAGGTTTGTGATCAATTGGACCAGTTGCCATCTCCCTTTTTAATCCTGGGATACTTTAATGGACACAACCCCCTCTGGGTTGGTGCTGATTTTGATGGGAGGGGTTGTTTCGTAGAGCGTATGCTCTTGGACCATGACCTTTCTCTCT